CTCTGGCTGAACCCTTAGGTGTCCGGGGGGGCCTTTTCCCGGGGGTGCTGCCCCCCGGGGGTGGGTGGTGGCCTTTCTGACGGTGCCCCCCCCCCCCCCCCCCAGGACGATCATGGCTACATCTCCCGCGAGTTCCACCGCCGCTACCGCCTGCCTTCCAGCGTGGACCAGTCGGCTCTCTCCTGCTCCCTGTCTGCCGACGGCATGCTGACCTTCTCTGGCCCCAAGGTCGCATCTGGGGGGGACGCCGGCCACAGCGACTGCGCCATCCCCGTGTCGCGGGAGGAGAAGCCCGGCGCTGCCCCCTCGTCCTGAGCTGGGCCTCCTGTCGGCTGCCACCCGCTGCTGCCCCTGCGACCATCCATCGGGGGAGCCCTAGAACGGGGCATTTGTCTTCCTTCTCTTTCCTCCTTCACGTTTCCTTCTCCTCTTCTCCGAGGGAATGAGGGTTTGAGGGCGTAGGTCGAGGTGCTGCGACCTCAGGGTGACCCAGACCCCAACACCGGCCAGTTGGTGGGAGTGACAGCCATCCCAGCCTCGTTAGACAACTGCCCGTCCTCCTGGGGGACGCAGGCCCGCCGTGGCTGACCGAGAGGCCGGAGAACAGCCCTGCCTCCCAGCCAGTGCCTCTGACCGGGGCAGCAGCCTCTGCGTCGGGGCCGGGCTGTGGGCCTGCCCCGTGTCCCCGGCCCCCGAGGGCCGTCCCTTGGAGACCTGTGTGCCTGGCCCCCAGCAGCCCGCGTCTCTCAGACCGCCCTCCCTCCTCCTTCCTCTCTGCAGTCCGCTCCTGGGCGTCCGGCCGCCCCTGACAATGCAGCCCGTGGCAGTCAATAAAGAGCAGGTGACACACACCCTGCGTCTGGTGGCCCTGCCGTGTCCATGCGGGCAGATGGGGAGTCGCGGAGAAGGGGCACCGCGGCTCAGAGTGGGGGTGTGAGGGAGGACAGGGGCTCAGCTGTTCCTGTCCCACCTCGTCTCTAAGTGACACGTCACGTCCGCTTCCAGTCCCTCCACCGGCTTCGCAGGAGGGGAGAGGTTTTCAGAACTCGGAGGGAAGGAGGGAGGAGGGAAGAGGTGGAGAGCCTCAGGCTCCTTCCCCAGTGCTCCTGGGAACTGGGTGTCAGGCATGGCCTCGCCCTTGGCCTGGCTCCCCGCCCCCCACCCTCTGGGGGGCTGCTCTCCAGGCTCCCCTGGGGTGTCCTGTAGGGATCCTACCCCCTAGGTCCCTAAGGGATGAGAAACAGCATTAGGTGTGGCAGGACGCGCCCACCTCTATTTGGCACCAGGCCCTGGCCCCCGCAGGGGAGGCACCCCCCCCCACTGCCTCCCCCTCCATGGAAAAGGCACGGGGTGGTCAGGGGCTTGGGGAGACCAGAGCTGAGCGCCCCCACCAGGAGCAGGAGGCCTCAGTGTTCACCTGACTCCCTAAGGTGGGGAGGAGACAAGGCCAAGGGGGCCCACAGCCTCAGGGCAGGGGTGGCTCAGCCAGGGGCCTGGCAGGTGCACCGTGACCACAGAGATGGTGAGGTGGGTGGCCAGATGGGGCAGCCAGCGGTCATTGTGGCCGCGTGGGCTCTGCCTGTGTGGTCAGGCCGGGTAAAGGGTCCTCTCCCGGGGAGCCCAGTAGACAGCCCTTGGGTGGAGCTCTCCCTCTTCCTGGAACAAACTAGATCCCCAGAAGGGAGGACACACGAAGAAAAAAATTTCCCAAAGTGATTCCTTTTCCACATGCAGTGACACCGTGCGCTGTCATTTTAAGTGGAAAGCAACGAACATACACAGACACAGACGCACACATGCACACACCCGTGTGTCTCCATCACTCTGGGCTTGGCCCCCTCACCCCTGTGGGAGTTTCCCCAGAATCCTCCTACCCCCACACCCCCTCCTTCCAGCAGGAAGGCCCCCACTCCTGCCAGTTAATTCATATTCATAAAGAACATGGGGGGCACCCTGGGAAAGCAGTGCCAGATCCAAGATGGCGGCCTGCAGGAGGCTGGTGAAGGAGCTGGAAGAAACCCGCAAACGCGGAATGAAAAACTTCCGTAACATCCAGGTTGATGAAGCCAATGCACTGACGTGGCAAGGGCTCATTGTTCCTGACAACCCTCCCTATGACGAGGGGGCCTTCAGAATCAACTTTCCCGAAGAATACCCATTCAAGCCGCCGAAGGCCACCTTTAAGATGAAGATCTACCATCCCAACGTCGATGACAAGAGCCAGGTCTGCCTGCCAGTGATCAGCGCCGAAAACTGGAAGCCAGCGACGAAAACCCACCAGGTGATCCGGGCCCTCATTGCGCTGGTGAACGAGCCCCAGCCTGAGCACCCGCTTCGCGCCGACCTGGCCGAGGAATACGCCAAGGACCGAAAACAGTTCTGGACGAATGGTGAGGAGTTCACCAAGAAATACGGGGAGAAGCGGCCTGTGGACTAAAACCTGCCGCGATGGAGTCCAGTGAGTGAGAGAGACCCCGGGCCCTGCAGACGCCCCGCAAAGCAGGGCTCCGTGGGAAATGGACAACGCCACCACCTGGTGTTTGCTTGTGGCAGTGACTAACTTAATACAGTTTTCTTAAATGATGCATTTTTTAAAAATACATTTTATTGATTTTTCACAGAGAGGAAGGGAAAGGGACAGAGAGTTAGAAACATCGATCAGCTGCCTCCCGCACATCTCCTACTGGGGATGTGCCCGCAACCAAGGTACATGCCCTTGACCGGAATCGAACCTGGGACCCCTCAGTCCACAGGCTGACGCTCTATCCACTGAGCCAAACCAGTCAGGGCTACAGTTTTCTTAATCAAAAGTGATCTTAGGTAACCTGTAAAGAAAGGATTAAACATTTAAGATGTTCTAAAAAAAAAAAAAAAAAAAAGGCTACACTGATTGGGGATGGGGAGGGGTGAAGACCAGCCTTAACTGCAAACGCCAGGAACAGGTAAACAAACAAACAAAATAGAACTGTCAAGAGATTTTCCGTCTTGACCTTTTCAGTGGCCTGACAGCTTTGCCATATTAAGTAATGTTTAGTTAACTACTTGAGAAAACAGAAACATGTAGTATTGTGCCGTCAGGATATTTCTACTTTAAAAGGGAATTATTGCACTAAAGCTAAGGCACAGATAAAGGGCGGTCTGTGCTCCCACTGACAAGGGAGGCCAGGCAGCTGCCTTCAGGACCACCTGCCCATCGTAGCCACAGAGACCTGGGAGCAGACACCAAGGACTGTCAGCACCAGAGAGGAAGTCCCTAGGTTGTTGGGACACAGACACAGAGAACAGTAGCGAAGACACAGAATCCACACAACCGGAAGAAGGAGCTGGAGAACCAAGAACCCTGAGAGCTGAAAAGAGCAGACAGTCGAATGGGGGCTGATGGATCCTGAGGACGAATCCACAGACCTGGGCGAGCATGGTTACCTGCAGGCAAGTAGGACCCATTTAGAGTGACCCGAAAGGGACGAACTTCTTTGTCCAGAAAAGTCTCCCATATAGGACTCAGCACGGGCCAGCTGCAACTATGGCATCTGATAGAAAAGACACCGGCTGCAGATTCAGACAGATCTGAGTTGTTTGGCTCAGCAGTAGCTTTGTGCCCAAGTGCAGGCGACTGAATCTCTGAACTTCAGTTTCATTATCTTTAAGACAGGAGCATAATAAGACCTTCACAGAGTTGTGGTGAAGACTAGCTGAGGCCACACATACTGGAAAGTGCTGGGGTCGGTACCTGGTACTTAGGAGCTACTTAATAAAAGATCTGCCTCTTCAAAAAAAAAAAAAAGGACATGGGGTGCCCCCTGTGGGAGGCAAAAGTGTCATCTGCATTGGGGCTGGGCCCAAGTCTCTGAGCTCCTCGCTCCACCCAAGTCCGAGTATGTCTCAGACCGGCTGTCCTTAGAGACGCCTTCACTTTTGTGCAGCCTGGTGTGTCATCGGAACAAAAGTAGGGGGTTGGAGTCCTGTTGGGTCCGGCTGCAGCCATAACTGAGCTGTCCTTAGAGGCCCGTGGCATTATGGTCACTGCAGTTCTTGCTTAGGCCTTGTCGTGGGCTGAGCTGTGTCCCCCCAGATGAGGCCCTAAGCACCTCAGGGTGTGGCTGTATTTGGAGATGGTTCAGGTTAAATGAAGGTCACTAGGTGGACCCTAGTCCAAGAGGATGGGTGTCCCTATAAGAAGAGATTAGGACACACACAGAGGTCCGACCAGGTGAGGACACAGGGAGGCAACAGCCAAGTGCAAGTGAAGGCGAGACGCCTCAGGGGAAACCATCTCTGCAGACACCTTGACCTCGGACTTCTAGCTCCCAGACTGTGAGGCCATACACGTCTGCTGTTTGAGGCCCCCGCCTGTGTATTTGTTCGGGGGCTGAGCTGACTACTGCGGCCTGAAGACACTGCTTTCGCTGGGCGGGCCTGCTGGTGACAGTGGCGCTAGGCTCTCAGAATCCTGGATCATGCTCCTTGGGGATTTGCAGGGAGTGCTGGGGCCCAAGCCCAGGCAGGGGAGTTGTGAGAGCCCCCCCCATCCTGGAAGGCTCCCCGACTTCCTCAGACCCACACATTGGTCCTTCCAGCTCCAGGGGGGAGTCTGACACCATCAGAGGTTCCTGCCCAGCATCAGTCCTCGGGGCTGTTGCAGGAAGAACCCAGAGGACACTCTGCACCCTCCCCCTCCTCCTTCCAGGTCACCTAGTCTCCCTGGTGAGACCTGGAGCGCATCACCTGGGCGAGTTCAGAGCCTGCACACCTGCTGCTGCTGGGTCTCCGCTGGCTGGCCCTCCCTCACCCTCACTTCATCCATCTCTAGTCACTCTCCCCTCAGGGGCACCCCAGACAGTCCTGGGTCATCAGAGCCAGGCCCCACCCCCTCTTGGGTACCTGGCTGTGCCCATTACAAAAGCCATAAAGATGAGGATGGCCAGTGTCCCCCAAAAACTGCTGGTCTTTGCGACCCTCCCTGAGTGCTTTATAAACATAGATTTCCAGGCCCCACCCAGACCCACCAGATGGAAGTGTGCAGGGCTGGAGGCCAGGAGTCTGTGCTCTTAATAATTCCCCAGGTGATGCCTGTGGCCAGGCAACCTTGGGAGATTCTGGAATAGCAGTGGCCGCCTCCCTGGGCACAGGAATGACCAGGGAGAGGTCTCTCTGAAGCTGCCTCTCTGATCCCAGGCCCACCCTCTCCTCCCACCCAAGTTGAGACTTGAATGTAGTCTCGTGGTTGTGGAGGAAGAATGAACCACACCCCCTCGTGGGCCCTGGTTTCCACTTTAAGCAGCAGTAGCCGGAAAAGCATTCACTGAGCACCTACTGTGTGCCAGGTCCTGTGCCAACCACATTGGAGCCTGGTGACCCCCATTTAACCCCCTCCGAAGCTTGCAAGGGGATTGACTGTTAGCGGGGAGATCCAGGTTTCAGAGCTGAGTCAGTTGTCTGGTGTCCCCACTGATGATGGCCTGGCCAGGACTCACCCCATCTGCCTGACCCCAAGGCAGGACTCACCCTCTCTGGTGAGTA